CCCAAACTCTATAAGCAAAAAAGATCAAAACAAACTTGATCAATTCAATTGCAACATACCAAAGCACCATAATACGCCCAAAACATATCGGATTTTTTCGCCAATAATAAAAAGCGAAGGCAAAATAACTGCCCATTAATTTGTATATAAATTATAGTTGTTGGCTATTTCTTTTGGTGGTGTTGATTGACTTGGCAATGGGAGCCCCTTTTTTGCGGTCTTGCTTTTTTTTTTCCGGCTGGTGCCAGTCTGGCGGGAATAGGAGAGAAGCGCGGGGGATAGAGCACGCCTTCCCCTCATTTTCACTCCACGGCGGGGCTGCGATGGGTCGCCAATGCTCATAGAACAGGGGGTTACTCGAGAGACAAGCTTGATGGCAAGCTTATGGAGCGCCTTGACTTGTGGTTCGGCCTCTGCTACTGGGACTTAGCGTCCGCCCACCGTTCTCCCTACCGATCTGCGTGCATCGCATCGCGTAAAGAGCGTACCTGGTACGCCTGGAGGCCCAGAAGGGAAGGTGAAGGAATATCACGCAAAGGATGGGAATGTTTGCTCTGCAATGTGCTTCGCCCGCAACTCCTGTGAACGATAATCACAACGACAAAGAAATAAATAAAGGAGGTTCGGTGCCTGGGTGAACACCAAGTGAAGATGCCTCTTGTTGAGATGCTGGAAACCTTACTGGATGGCATGCGCGCCTTCAATTTTAAAAGTCGGCCAATGCCAGCCGAGTCCCCGCATGTTATTGATGATTCTCTGCGACTTGGGACGACCGTGCGTAGCGCGTATCCCACGTGCCCACCCAATACCCTGATCCATTCTAGCTCGTCAGGTGCCACCCAGCCAATATTTTGGCCTCAGGCATGACCCCAGGCTCAAATGGCTTGAAGCCGCAATAACATCTGTCCAATGATCTTCACTCACTACAAGAAACCATACGGAACACCATTGAGCATTGAATTTCCGTCCGCAGACCATTTCCCTCTCGGCCAGCCACTTGCTCAATCGGCCACCCCGGGATTCCAACCTAACATGCCCAGCTCAACCCATTTCCACGCCGTGGCTAGGATGGATAGACTGAGCTTCACCAGAACGAAGGCCAGCCTTTCGAGAACACATGCTGCCCGTGGCCGACATGATGCCTCGCACGCGGGCAAATGAGGGCGGCCAACGGAAGTGTGGTACGTATGGACGTCGAGGAAATGCGCGTCTGCGTTCGGCTCCCTTCCAGAACCCATCCGCCTCCCTCGATCGAATGCAGGCCATGATTGGTCTGGTTTTGCTCTCGCATTGGGTTGAGCCTTCCATGCACCACATGTTCTCGGGTGATGATGAGTGATAAAGAACGGCGGACGGGCAATCACATAATGCCCATGTACAGTACATCGAATCTAGGAAGCTGTCTACTAAAAACACCAAGGCCATGTCGCCTTCCAAGGACCACACACAAATAAAGAAAACCCTCCCCGGACTTCTGCGCGGGTACCCCAGTAAAGTGCCATCGTCCGTAAATCTTGGGCCTGTGTTGATGCTAATTCTGCCACGCAGATTATGCCGCTCGGTATCATTGACACATCGTCGAGCTTTGCACTGTGGCCAAGCAGAAGTGTTCCCTGGCGACGGCGTGTCACCATGGTCCAAAAGCTCCGACAGGCCCAAGAACCAGAATAACGTGGCGACATCGGGACCAAGCTCGTGCACCCAAGACGGCAGGGCTGCCGACAGGGGCAATGCCACCGAATTCCAACGCAGGACGAGGGCATTGGAGAACCCGAGGGCTGGCTTGTCAAGGCATTACCAAAATTGGCCAAACACAGGGAAGTGGTGGATCTCTAGGCCCCACCTGTGTGTTTGATGCGAGGGCCATGGGCAGGGAGCTAAGCCACCAAGACGGCAAAACACACCAAACGCAAACCATGAATAGGGCCTCTGATCGAAAGCTTCGCACCGGCGACGTCCCCACGGGGGGGAAGGGGGGTTGATCCCGGCCCCGGGCAGGTTCACTTGGCTCGACGGCCTGCCGCATATGTCGATGGTGCGGCGTCTTGGCTATTTTTGGCAGGTCGACTGACACGTCCTGGCCGCGACTCGACACTTCGCTTTGACGTGAGTAGGAACAGGCGAGGGAGCGGTCTGCAAGGCGACATGCGGCACTCGCTGTCCCTGGTCGCGATGGGCCGAGGCCGACTGTCTGCCCGTTGGCCCTAGCTCACCTTTCCTCTCCCACTTGCCCCATGCAAGGCCCGCACGGGAGCCCTCGCCGGCGGGAGACAGTGAGAGAGGACGTCTATATAAGGTGGCCCCTCACTTCCATCTTCAGCTCTTTTCCCTTCTTTCTCATCATCGACATCGATCTTTCGCAATTCTTTGTGTTTCCTTCGTCTTTTTTTTTCCTTCTGTTTTTCCTTTTTGTTTCTTGCATGCTTTTCCGTTTTTCCCTTCTTGCATCCCTTCCCTTCAACTTCAACCACACGTTCTTCGGTAACCTTTAAGGCCCCTACCCCTTCCGTCAAGATGAAGTTCAACGTTGCTCAGGCCCTGGCGATCCTCGCCGTCACCAACCCGGCCGTCGCCCTGCAGTCCACCGATTACGCCGACAACCTCGCCATCGTCGCCCGCGACATCAACCCCGAGGCCGCCACCGCGTCGGCCTCCATCGAGGAGGCCCCCGTCCTCGAGGCCCGCGACCCCCGCCGTGGTCGTATCGGCGGTAGCCGTCCTGCCAAAGGTGGCGGTGGCGGTAGCGGTAGCCGCGTGGAAATAGGGGCTCACGTTGCCGGGAGGATTGGGTCCTCCACTCGCGACGCGGAGCAGATGGCCGCCGCCAAGCGCGACCTTGAGGCCCGCGACCCCCGCCGTGGTCGTGTCGGCGGTAGCCGTCCTGCCAAAGGTGGCGGTGGCGGTAGCGGTAACCGCTTGGAAAAGGCGGCTAACGTTGGTTCGATTATTGGGTCCGTTTCCGAGGTCGCCAATAACGCGCAGCAGATGGCCCAGGGCGCCCCCGCCGCCCCAGCCGCCAAGCGCGACCTTGAGGCCCGCGAGCCCCGCCGTGGCCGTATCGGCGGTAGCCGTCCTGCCAAAGGTGGCGGTGGCGGTGGCG